TTCTACTATTTCTACAACAGGAAAGCAGCTATACAACTTGGAATATACAGAGTGGGATATGAGTTCTAGTTTAAAGTTAGTTTTATATTGGGTGAAAAACAATCCTTTTCAAAATGTACTCGTATCTCACACACTCTTAATTTATCATAGATTTCCATTTCATCTCATTCTTATGATATTCCTGGAATCACAGACTTCCACTAATTAAAAAATTCAATGTTTTTTCTTGGGGTGGGAAATGTGGGTTTTGGTAAGGTTTATTCCGTAAAATATGGAATACAAAATTTTTAATCCATATTTCTTTATATTTTTTTTTACTACAAATTCTCTAAATTGCAGAAAATTTAAAAGAAAGAAACCTTATAACTTTGCCGAAATCTTAAATTCGGTAAAATTGGACGACTTTTTTAATGTACCCATGGAATTTATCCAATGAAAGTTATAGTAAAATAAGCTCAAATTATCTTCGTTGCTTTTATCTTACTTTTGAAGGAACTTTTAATTCTACTGGATATTGGAAAATTAAGAAGTTTATTTAAAAATTTATTGCGAGATTAAGTTTCCGCGCTCTTCTCCCCCTAATTCTCTCACTGCCCTTTTTCATAACTCAATATTTTTTCATAATTGAAAACCAAATTGTCTGTTGTATTGAAAACCAAATTGTCAATATTTTCTTGCTTTCTGCAAAAGAATGTTGTTATATTATTAGTGCTCATTATATGAAAAAGGTTGCCAACTACAGTAACTATTTTATATATATGTATACTATTTTTCATATTTATATTGTTGATATGTTCAGAATTTAGAATAATGCTGAATGTTATGTGATTGTTTTTTTTTTTTTACTAGCTATTTCATAATGGTTTTTCTAGTTAGTTTATTCTTATATTGTAATAGGATGATTTTATATACACACGTTCACGTACGTTTTGCAACTTATACGGTATACCTACGAGAATCTACACTATATACAAATCCTTAAAAATACAAATATAGTCTAAAATATACTCATATTATCTATCCATCCGTGGATATAGTAACATACATAATATATGTAAAAAATTTAAGAAGAAAATTTTTTCTAAATCCTTTACGTGACCAAGTAGGAAATATAAAATATTAAGGACGACAGTGGAAATAAGATTGGTATAGGAGCAACAGGAGGAGAATGGAGGAACAACTTAATATTTAAATGCAATAGTTTATCTAAGATTTTTAATTTTAAATTCTAAAACAAAAAAAAAAAAATTAAATAAGAAAATTTTTGGATTTTAATTTTAAATTTTGTATTCTTTAAGGTTGAACTCTTTTTAACAATTGAATAGGTTTTTAGTGATTTCTGAAAAAAAATAAAGACGACAAAAATTTTATTCTTGTGACTTAAAAATTTTTTGGAAATTGAAAGTGAATTTAATTCTTATTTTCTTGTTATTGTTGCTAAAATCCTTAAGAATTTTAAGAATAAATTGCAAGAAAAACCTGAAATTCTTTAAATATTTTATCCTTTTTGTTTTTCATTATTGTTGATTGCTTCCTTAAATTTCTTTAATATTTTAGAATTTTCTTGTTGATTACCGTTATTTATGAATTTTCTTTAAATTATTTAACAGATAAATGTATGAATGTGTGTATGACGATTAAATATTTAAAAATGATAAAATCAATTTTCTATTTTGAAGCAATCACTTATTAAGTAGTGCGGCTTTTTGAATATTTCTCGAGTACTATATGAATTGAATTCTTCATTATATGTGATAATTCTGATATAAGTACCATAGTAATGAAATATATATATATAGATGTTTGTTTTCTCATTTATACTTGAATCAATTTCATTTTCAAGTTGTGGTATAAGAAAAAAATTTTCTATTATCATTCAATATTGTTGATATCATTGTGTGTATTAGTGTAAGTCATTGGGTACATGATGGAGGAAAAATATAAGAGTTATTTGTTTGTATTGTTATTGCGGTAATTGTGTTGTCATATAAGTTTAAATTCATAATATTTAAAAGAGAGTATCAGAATAAAAATTTCAATAAGTTTTTTAAAGAAAAAAAAAATTTGCCTAATATTGTACGGCTATAATATATTGGAAATAGTAAAAAATTTCCATTATCGTTAGTTGGTTGTGATCAGTGACACATTCAGCTTCCTTTTTAAAGTTATGGCATGAAAACTACTTTTACTATTGAATAGGAATTACGCATAATACGTCATAAAATTATAAAATAATGCGTTTATTGTATGAACGTTCCAATTTGCAGTAAATTCTGGTTTTTGGGATGGTTATTACATTAACGCCCCCTAAATATAATTCGGTATTGAGTTATATTTCCCTAAGACTTGTACTTTATCGAAAGAAACAATGTATTTATTTAATTTTTTTTCAAATAGATCTGGAAAAGAATATTTCTTCGGCATATTCTAATAAATACTCAAGGATTCCCGCTAATCTTATTCTGTTCTGATATTGCACTGTGCTCTTTTATTGTGAATGAAGTCTATTAAATATAATTGTGTGTTATATAGAACAATATAAAAGTATAATCAAAATAATTTTTCAATTTTAAAATTAAGTATACCACTTGATAATTTTAACGAAAAACCACAATATTTTGTTAAGTTAACTGTTATATCATATTTGTATATCTATAATATGAAATACGAGTATTTCTAAAATTATTTTGTTATACAATTTAAGAATCAAAAAAAATTTCTAAACATATTTTGAGGTTATTTTTAGAATTAAAGTTCATTTATTTAGCATAAATAATGCAAAATTTTAAATCAAATAGAATTTGATCCTTAAATTAATGATTTTACTTTTACTATTTATTTTCTATTATCTGTTATATTTGATTTGGTATTAGTTGAAAATATTATGGAATTCCAAGAGATGATCAAGTAGTTTATACAGTTTATTTAACTATGGGGTATATAAGGAATTATAAGCTTATGCGCCAATAATATTTTTGAAATTTAAAATTTTCTATGATAATTGAATTATGATGAATTTTAGAATATTTTAATTATTAAAATAGATAAAATTCTTAATACTAGTGTTGAAGATTTTTTATATTAAATTTATTATAGCCATGCACTTGATTTATTCTGATTGTTAATAAATTGAATTAGATTGAATGAATTTTTGATTTCTGTTAAAGGATATTTGGAATATTTGGAAAATTATTGAAAAATTTAAAGGGAAAGTATAAAGCTGTTTGATATAGATGCTCTGGTGTTCATGAATGTGATACTAAAAAAATTTTTTTTGAAAACAGTCTGATATTTTGAAATAAATTGTTCTTTTCGTATAAAATTTTGATAATTATATGGGATATTTTTTTCAGTCGGCAGTATTGATATCAAAAATTTCTTAAAAATTTTTTGTAATAAAGCCAAATTAATCCAAGTTATTAAATGAATTATTAAAGTAGCACTATTAGAAATAAATATTAACTTTGCTTAAGATCTCATTATTCTCATTATTATAATCAAATTAAAGTAATAATATCATTACAAAAGAGTCTGCGAATTACACGTTCTCAAGATCTTTTTTAATAATTTCATAAAATTTTCTTAAAGTCTCAATTAAATTATGTTATTTTTTTGGGGGGGGGCCTTAAATTTTAAATTAAATCTTATAATAATTATAATAATTAAATTATAATTTTCAATAAAAAATATAATAATAATGAATATTATGGTTATGAAATTAATTTGTTATACCATAATATTTTGGTGTCTTTAATAATAATTATGTTTTTAAAGTAAAATGTACACAATTTGTTACGAGTGTATTGAAATTTAATCAAAGTTTTTGGTTTTTTTTTTCTTTATTATGTTCAGATTTTCTTGTAATTAATCAAGATTTATTAATATAAATCACGAGATATGTACTTATTAAGAAAGTTTTTTTTTTGTACTTAAATTGTACAATAAATTGATTAATGATGTTATTTTATGATTAATGCAATTAATTGGAAAATATGTCATATATAATTAAAGTATGAATTTTTTTTATTATTACAGAATTTAATATAACGAAGTTGCATTTAATAAAATTATTTATAAAGAGCACATTATTTTTAAATGATATTGAATATTTAAATTGTATATAATAATATTTTAAAATTGCATATTTCCAGGGGCACCTTTCTATAATTTTGTGTTTAAGATTAAGTAAAAGGAATTTATATGAACATTTTAAATAAGAATATCTATTAAACTATTCTTAATTATCAGGCATACTCCAAGAGCTGCGGTTTACAAATATTAAATCACAAACTCTTCTGAAATTTAAAAATTTACATTAGGATTTTAAGTAAGAATAATAAAATTGTTCTTTATGATATAAAAATTACTTGATATCTTTAATGTTCTAGTAGCATGAAAGAATAATATTTCATGCGATAACTTATGTACATATGCATGGTAATTTCAAATCATGATTTATTAGAGAATATTTAGCTGGACAAGCAAGATAAATATTTTCATGTTCTCTATATTATTAACATAGTAGAATGTAAGTAGATAAAATTATTCTTTGCTCTTTTTTTTTTTAATTTTCACTGAAGAGCTAATAATTTTGTTGATGAAGAAGATGTTATTGCTGTTGAATGAAAAATCATAATAGGCGTAAAATGTATAAGATAAAGAGTATGTTACATTATCATGTAATGAAATATTTTTGTATTAAGTTTTGGAATAGGTTCAAATAGTTTTCAATATCAGGCATAAATCATAATAAATAATTGGATATCAGACGTAAATGTATTTTGTAGTTGTTGTTTTTGTTCTACTTTATTTTTCTGAATTGACTTCTTGGTTTCTCGACTCTCGATCCTGATTTCTCTATTCTTTGACACTTTAAATCTCGATTTCTAGATTCCTTGTTTTATTGGTTCCTTCATTACTCTACTCATCATGTCCCCAACACAGATTTTCTGACTTCTCGTCGTTAAGACTCCTGTACCCCAAATTTATTCACTCTTCAACTATTGGACTCTTTGACCCTTAGAATTTCGGCTTTTTAACTTTTTGGGTCTTTGACTCTTTGGCCCTATGACTCTATGACTCTTTGATTCTTTGACTCTTTGTTTCTTTGACTCTTTGACTCTTTGACTCCTTGACTCCCTGACTCTTTGACTCTTTGACTCTTTGACTCTTTGACTCTTTGACTCTTTGACTCTTTGACTCTTTAACTCTTTGACTCTTTGACTCTTTGACTCTTTGACTCTTTGACTCTTTGACTCTTTGACTCTTTGACTCTTTGACTCTTTGACTCTTTGACTCTTTGACTCTTTGACTCTTTGACTCTTTGATCTTTGACTATTAGATTCTTCAAATCTTCGATTCTTCGAGTCTTCGACTATTCGATTCCACGACTCTCCAATTCTTTTATTCGTCGACTCTTTGATTCATAAAATCTCGGATTGCTCAATTCCTCGGACTCTTATACATCTCGACTGCAGCTCTGATCTCAAATCAGTGATTATTCATATAAAAAATAAGCCTACACATAGCATTCAACATAATATGTCCGCATATACATAGTCTAAAATTTCTATAAAAGAATGTTCGTAACGTATGTAGGTCCCTTGCATAAATTCAATAAATCCAAATCCTATAAATATCTCGTATAACATATAAAAAAAATTCATTGAAAAAACTTTAGGAATTTCATGAAATTTTTTTTTTAATTTTTTTCTATATTTTGATTTTCTCTCGATTATACACTCATTTTCATACCTAACTTTAACTTTACAGTTAAATGGTTCAATTAAACCATTTTATTTAAGTATTAAAAAAGAGCAAAAACAAAACAAAAGGAATTTTTTTTTCTTCGTCACCAAATGCCATAAATTAATTTTATGCTTCTATACTCTTTTCATTCTACATCGTCTATATTGTGTATTTGTACTAGAACTATATTTAAATATTATTTTTCATCAGAGTCATGTTTTTGAATACCATTTCACAGTCCTCCTTTGATTGTTTAAAGTTTTAGAAAGAGAGAGAATGAAAAGAAAAAGTTTCTCCTCAAAAAGGATATCAAAATATTGAAAATGAGAATAAAATAAGAGAAGAATGTAATTAAGAGTAGGTAGGTATATTGATTGCTCATCGAGTATAAGGATAACTTGTTATGTAAAAATAATAAAATTATATGCTATCACCGTTATCGTTAATTGCTTTTAAGAATGACTTTTGTGATAAAAGTATGATTTTTACCGTTTCTCTCTTTTTTGCTAAAAGAAAAATAGAAAAGTAATTTAAAGTTTTTCTTTTCTTTTTGTGTGTGTTTTTTTTTTTTTTTGGTGTACCTTTCAATGAATTTTATAAAGTGACGTTATAGAAAGAGAAGAAAACCAGAGAAATATGTCATGAGTCAAAACTAATAAAAATGTTAATAATGTTATCGCTAAAATTAAAAGTTGATTGGAATGATTTTGTTTAAAAAAAAAAAAAAAACAAAATTTTATTTTAAAATTTGCATATAGAAAGGCGTTCATTCTGCTTCTTTTAAAAAGAATGTTGCATGTTAATAATTATATGGTACTAGTGAGATGGGCAGTTTTATTGGCTGGGTGGATATCAAATCAGTGTTGAACTGCTTTGTGACTCTCTATACATGAGGTTAGAATTTTAAATAGTTGGAATCAGGTGAAATGAAGTCGCAGTTACACCAACAAGAGAAAGCTATATTTATGGATTCACATAGGCTCTACTTCAAGTGACTGCTCTATTTAAAATCACGTTGTGTATATATACTATAAAGGATTAAACATCGCTTCATATTTTGGGTACTTTTGAAGTAATCGACTAAATTTCCACTGATTTATTGTTATTATGATATTTTAATTTTATTATTTAAACATTGCACATAATATATAAGCATTTTTTCATTGCATTTCGAAAATTTGGTATTTGGTATCGATTGTATTTAAATATAAATATTGTATTGTTTCATTGTACCCTTTCATTATTACAATATATCATAATACCTTTTGATTGTTACCATATAATTTTAGAAAAATTTTATTTAAAAATATATTTTTAAATATTTAAATTAGGATATTGATCACTAAAAATTCCAATCTGTTCAAATTTTCGCTTGAATTATTATGATGTTACAACAGTATATTAATGTCATGTCACATATAACCAAAACTATAATCATTATATATACATTTCCAAATTTCATTATAGTTTCTGATCTATGTAAATTTTATAATTGATTTGTTGTTACGTTCTTATAAAAATTTTCACTTCAATAGATTAACATTGATAGAACATATGTCTGATAAATAATTGAACATTTTGGTTGACACAGTAATTGAATATACGATATACACACAGATACATACAAATGTGGTAAAAATATCCGAGAAATTAAATATAGTTAAATAAATGAGTAATTGAAGTCAATAGCATTTTCAATTTGTAAAAGTACTCTTGTCCTTATTTTTCATAAAAAGGCTCATACTTCACATATAAATACAATTATTGTGCATGTGAATGTTAATTTGTATTAGTTGTATATGTTTTTTTTTGTGCTGTTTGTTTTAATAGTATACCTTGATTTCTTTTCAGTCATTTCTTCTTTTCATTTCTACTCTGTTTCATTTTAAACGTTTAAACATTTTCATTATTTCCCCTTTTTTGAAAATTTTTCAGAGCATAACACAATTTTATTTATCTTAATTCTAAATAATTTTCCGGCACATGTCTTTCATTCAGCTAACAAAAAAACTTTTCTCTATATTATACCTAATATTTATATAATGTATAATATGTTTATCCAATATTGTGGGACAATTTCGATATATGTACACACATATATTACAATATATTCGAATACTATTTAATATACACATGTATATAGTTGTATAAATACAAAATAATTTTCAATGGTGGTAAAATTATAGCTTTATATATATATTATTGTTATTTTTAATTTAATATTACCAAAATATATTGTCAATATAACAATATCGTTTTCTCAAAATAATTTCATTCTATATACACATACATAAATATATAAGTAGAATGACGATAATAAGAGAAGTTTAACAAATTACTGAAAAAAAAAATTCTTTATTTTTCCAATTACCTTTAATCTATCGACCACTTTAAATAGCTGCGAAATTGATAAAAATGTAATAAATTTTTTCTTTTATATAAAAACAAACGTTCAAAATTTTCTTTTTTCATAGAAATTTCAGTGTACATAGATTCTTATCATATTACATACAGTAAAATTACGATAAAATTGACCCTCATCCTATTTGGAGGATGATATTTTGAATGAAATCCTAGAAATTATGGAAAGTTGATGATCTTATTGTTTCTAATTAATTTCATTACACGAACTGATCGACAAAATGTGAAGATGCCATTGTAAATTTGTGTAGGACACTTTACATTTATTATAATCCTACCACTAATAATATTTTACTAATTCTTTTTTGTTTTCTTCTTCTTGTCATAATACGAGTATCTGAAAATATTTTAGAAAATCAAGTAAAAAATAATTATAATCAAACATGTTGCATTGATGTTTCAAACATGTTGTTTTTGAAATATAACCAAATTATTGGAGAATATTTTTACGCCAGTCCAAAACTTATTAATATTATACCGTTATGAACATTACTTTGTAGTCTCCAATAATAGTTTCAGGTTAGATTTTAAACTAAATTATATAAATCCTTTGTAGCGAAAAATTCAGTATTTTTTTCGAGTTATTTCGTTGCCTTTACATTACATGAATATTTGAGTCACACGTGCTCAAAGACCGCTACAATCATTCATAGCCACAATTCTTCTGATTTTACTGTAAAATACGAGTATATTGTATATTTAAGGAAGAGAAACACAAACAATAAAAAAGAAGACAAAATAAAATCAAATCTGGACAAAGTAATGTATTTGTAAACTCAATCCTCTATAAACCCAATCACTTTAAATTAGGAATCATTTCTGTATTTTTTTTTTTTTGTTGTTGTATATTTTCTCTATGATTCTCTCCGCTATACTATATAAGATAATACCAAAAAATATGTTTATATCAGAAAAAAATTTCTACTAGAACGGAAAATTAAAGTTTTAGAAATTGTAGAGAAAGAGTAGAATAAAAAAAAAAGGAGAGAAAAGAAGAATAAAGAAGAAAACAAACACAAAAAATCCTTATTATAAAGATTTTGATAATATTTTCTATTGTAATAATGAATCCTTAACTATATCCTTATGGTTATCCTTAATTTTATGTGTATTCTCATGTTTCTTTACTCGTTATTTTTATCATCATTTTAGATACTTTTTTTCTTGTTTATAGAATTTTTCATTTTTCTCATTCTTGTTATTGTTGGTGTTTTGTTATTCTTCTTTCAATATACGATATAAATTTTTTGTTTTATTTTCATTTTTCTTTTTTACTTTTTGCTTTATGATATAAAGGTCTAAAGTTGAAGTATAATATAAACAAAAAATATATGATTATAGATTGAGACACTCAAAATTAAAGTAGTCTAACCTACAAATTATTAATTTTGAAATACAGTGAAACTTCTATATAATGAACACATTGAATCTAAATATTATGTTTGTAATATAATAATAGAGAAGTTCGGTAAATAGAAAATTTAATTAGATTGTAAATCTGCTGATTGCCCCGACAGTAATTGCTCTTTAAATAGAAATATTTGCCATATGGAAGGTATTAGAGAAAAATATTATTCAAGAAAAAACTGTCATGCTGTCCATTAATTTTCTATTAATGAAGACGAAGGAAAAGTGGATGCAAATGGCTCCAATAATCAATGTTAAAGAATATTTTTTAAAAAACAGTTGCGGATCAATTCAACATTCTGAGTGCTAAATTTTGTAAAGTGGGTAAATCGTTTTGGTTTCGTTAAAAAGTGGGTAAAATTGTTTTTTTAATTAGTGTGCCCAATATAAATGCTATACATATAAAATTATAGGCTCAAAATTTAAAAGTAAATTTTTCTCAAATTTTTAAATGTATTGACCTCGGAATAGCATTTTTTGAGTTAAACCATTTTGCTTCTGAGTCCTATAGTTTATAAACGTTTAATATCGTTATGATTGTATATGTATAAACGAAGATACATAATATATGTTTATGTATTAATATATTTTAATATATTATAAAAATAGATGAATAATCTTGAAGATAAATATCGTTCATATAATATGTAAGTGTATGTATATGTATATATGTACATATGTGTATATGATTCGGAAATGTGTCAAAAAGCACGTATAATTTTTTTTCTTTTTCATTTTCTTTTCATTCTCTCTCTTTTTATATTATTAACGTTATATTTTTTTTTTCATACTTTTCTCACAATATTAGAACTTTCATATACACTCGTTAACATAACAGCATGATACCTTCACTGTATATACATATATACATTTGTACATATTATGTACATGTATTTTATTGTATATACCATTTCTGTAATATAAGTATTTATTTAGGTTAAGTTCAAATACTGAAGGCGGTTAACATAATGATTGCTGACATGTTAAATAATATTGTACGCATTTAACATACTTTACAACATACTGTTTTCTTCTGAGAATTATTGAAGATAGTCATGTATTAAAGGTAAAAAAAGGTACATAATATACAAAAATATTTTTGAAAATTTTAATAATAAAAATATTTGGTATAAAATTATAGAAGCATTAGAGTTGGATTAAGTTACAAATTAAATTTTTTTAAGGGGTTTTTTTAAAGGATAAGGAATGGGAGTGAGAGCTGACTTGTACGAAAAAACGACATGAAGAAACTACTAAAATAATGCCAAACAAATGTCTGCGAGTTATCTGAATAACATACATTGCCCCAGACGAATAACAAACGCGGGATTCTGGGAGATTACCGAGTCAGAATTAGTACAGTCCACTATAAAACGAGGAAAATGGAAGTGGATTGGCTATACACTTTAAAGGGTTCCGAATAAGATAGGGTGACAGGCGATAGAGTGAAAGCCACAAGGCAATATAGGTAATGGAAGAACCTCGACTAATATTGAGGCGAACAATCGTCGAAGAATTAGCAACACCTGGAAAAATGTGGATAGAAATAAAATATTAGCACAAAATAGAGTTCGACGGAGAAGATTTATGGAAACCCTATATGCTGTTGTGTTATATATCTTTAAATATGAGGCCTGAGTATCATGAACCTCAACTCTATGGTGTTGATGGTAAAAACTTCAATATTAAAGTAAGTGTAGTGCTCCATAACAAAACCATAAGCTGTTATATAAAACTGAACAATATGGCGAGAAATCTAAGATTACAGAGCTCATTTCTCAAAATTGTGTTCGTCAATCAATAATGTCATGTGTCTATGTAAGACATTATTGTTATGACTTTTCAGAAATTTTTGCACGGATCATATTGAACTATACCATACATACTCTAGTATTTTATGCAGAGCTTTAGTGTTCTTCATATTTGTTCACTCTTTTTTTACTACAAGACGATATTAACTGGGCGTTTAAAAGAATTTCAAAACTTTTTGCTTTTTGAATTTTATTTTGAACGTTCACCAATTATAAATGAATATTAAGTATTTGTATAAAAGGTTTTCGATGTTTGAACTCAACTCTTACACATAATATTGTCTTGTATCATTCACAATATGTCTTACTATTACATAAAAACCAAAAAAATATAACAGATATATTAGAAGCGAAAAAAAGAAACAAAATGGAGTAAAATAAAAATGAAAAAAAAAAAAAAACAAAAAATAATATGTCAGGACTTAAATTGTTCAGTTCCAATTCCCGTGATCTCATTTTGCTTTTACAATTATATTAAACGCATATTTTCGTACATACAAACACACACATTTATATACATATATACAAAACCCATATGGTGTATATTGACAACAAAAAGGCAAAATATTCACAATACCGAAAAAAAAAACAAATATTATTTTATATACACACACTCTCATACACACGTACAAAATATTTATCAAAGGCTTGTAAAAAGGATATCATATTTTTTTTTTTTTTGGTGTTTATTTTTCTGATTTGTTATTTTTATTTTTATAAATATACTTAAGAGTCCAACCATATTTATTTATATCCTCAAATATTATACATGTGTTAAGAGTCAAGAAAGGAACAAAAAAAAAAAATAAAAAAGTAGCGGAACCTATATGTGACCACTTTACTTTTGCAAGCATCTGAGTAAAAGCAACAATAACAACAAGAAGAACAAGAAAAGAAAAACAATTTTTATTTCCTACACTTTTAAGTTGAAATTTAATACGTGCCACATATTAAATAACAAAAAATGGTTATCAAGGTCGAAAAATGTTAAAAAAAAAAAAATTTGTGCTTTTTTTCCTAAAAAATAAATAAATTTTTTTTTTCCTTTTAAGTACAAAAAAAACAGTAATGAAAAGGAATCTTTTTTTTTATGTAAGTATTAAAAAAAAAAAAAAAGTTGATACTCTTGATGCCTCTTGACTGTATAAAAATTTTCATTTTCCGGGATAAATTTCAGAAAAAATTTTGTTGAACATTTTTTTAGCGTATACCAACC